AATCTCTACAAATATATACTAGGGCTTGGTTTTCTAGAAAATTAAAGAAGAGGATGTAAAAATTTAAATGAGTGATTGAGAAATGAAATTAAATTGAACACCAGAACTAGAAACGTAAACTCAAAAAAAAAGATCAATTAGCTAGTTAGGACAACTTTGTTTCAACTAAAGATGGGGAGACTTGAATCTTCGACATTTAGAAAAGTAATTAATGTCCCGACCAGTTGAATTATGTTCATATTAGCTATTTCAACTCAGATTCAAAAAATTAACTTTTTTCGAATTAATTTTATATTAGGGCAACGAGTCTCTTATTTCTCTCCACAATGGTATATAGATGGAGCACCTTGATTTTTGGAAAAAGCAACAAAATTAGAGGTAGCTAGCCCTATTAATTTGTATGAGCATATATGAAAGCACGTGTAAATGCAAAATTCCCATCTAAATGAATAAAATCTCCAACTTTGAAATTAGGTTTAATTTTGGCAAGATTTTTGGAAGGGCATATATCTTTTGGGCCTTTTCCCCAAGTGTTGGCTTATCACACACCTTTTCCCCTGTAAAATTAGATATTGTCTCCTTTTCGACCTAAATGTCTGTTAAATATATATATATATATATATATATATATATTTAATTATATAATATATTTGGATTCTTTTAAGTTTCGTCAAGTCACATGTTTTTATTGATGCTAGTTTTTTACCACGTGTTTTGGACGTGACATCTCAATTTTATTTTATCATATATTAATGATAATTTTATTTATAAAACAACTAAAAACAATAATCGGCCAGAACAAGTAGGGAAAGATTAGACATTTGGATCAACTTAGAAAATGAAAGTCATAAATTTTAAAATGAAAGGTTTATGGTGAATGTAAAAAATGTTTTTTTGTTTCAATTTTGATTGGTCATTGATATATTAGTAAAACTATTCATATTCTGCCTTTTTATAATTATGGTTAACAATTAATTTTAATTCAATTAGTCTTCTAGTATTATAGAAAATAAAAAATAAAAGATTAACTTAGAAAATGAAAAGGGATGAAATTTTAAATTGAAAGGTTTATGCTAAAGCGAGCATACCTTAACGATAATTGACATGTCAAAAAATGGTGAYGTTTCTTAAATGGCATATCCACAACGATTTTTGTTTTCTTTTATTTCTTTAATATATTTGAGGTTGTCAATTAACAGGTTAAATTATATTTGTCCTCGAATTTCATGTTTTTGCCAATTTGTCTCTATTTTTACCTTTTTTTTCCCATTTCATTTCTGTATTTGGTCAAGTGAATCAAGTTTACCTTACAATTACGGCCATCTTATCCAATTAAGTTTTAAAACTTGAATAAATCATAAAAATTTAATTTTCAAAAAAAAAAATCATAAAAATTTGGGTATATGTTCTTGACTTTTATTATTATTATTATTATTATTTTCTTGGAGTTGTTTTTAGAATATGTAAACTAACCATTTTAAAAGTGTTTTCAACTGTATTTGTATTCTAAAAACAGTTTGAAAAATATATTATTTGTTTTGGTGCATTTATTTCTTCTCAATATTTTTTGAGCGGTTGTGTATAGATGACAAAATTAAACCCAGTTGATTGTAAATATAAAACACTTAATGTACAAAAAAATAATAATAATAAATAAATAAAACCCACTTACAACGACTAACAATATATATATACCATAATCTTTTTTTAGTACAATATGTGAGGGTGGGGGATCGAATTTACAACCTTTTTGATTAGAGGTATATGCCAATTACCACTGAGCTATGCTCGCTTTGGCATATACATCACATAATATTATAACATCAACTATAGAATATATTATATCTAAAGAGTGTTCCTTTTGGGTGGATTCTTTTTTAATGTATATTACTAATATACTATAATAATAATGGACGTTTAGTAGACTATATTAATACTAAATGTCTATCACTGATATAGTCTATCAATGATATAGTGATATAATCTATCATTAATAGATGAAAAGAAATAAATGAATAATATACAATAATTGAAAGAGAATGATGTAAAAATATCCAAATAGGCATGCAAAAAATTTTTAAAAAATTGTCATACATGTTATATCATAACACTATTGCTATATTTTGTAAATATGGCAAGGGTGCAAACAAATTGGATTCTGTCGAGTTAGTATGATTTTTTGGACCAACTCAAAAATTCGGGTTGGCGATTCCATTATACTGGAATTGTAGTTAGTGTATAACTCAATCCAACCAAATCCTTATGCTTTGGTTTGGGTCATTAGGTCGTAGAAATTTTGATTTTTCCTAGATATTTATAATATCTCTACTTCTTTAGACCCACCAACACAATAGTTAGAAGAGATCAACAATGCAACAACGAGAATAGTAACAAGAACAACAACTCAAATATGAAGACGAGCAGCAAACTCAAAGGATGAGATTATGAACATGAACAAAAACAACAATTCCAACCATTCCAAAGTGAGCATAGCTCAGCGGTAATTGACATATACCTTCAATCATGAGATTGTGAGTTTGATCTCCCACCCCCATATATTGTACTAAAAAAATTCTAGGAACGAAATTGAGGCGGTCGTAAATTCGAATTCAAATTCCCCGGATAAAATTGAGAGAAGAGAAAAGAAAGAGAGGTGTGGAAACTTAAAAAGAAAGGAAAGAAGATGTTTTTTTTTTCTTCTTTTCTTCTCTCTCTCGAAGGATGAAGATTAAAAAGTTGATACGTAGGGTGTGGTTGTAAAATGAAACACCCAAAAAGCATAAAGCTCATGAAAAATGTGGATGTTGGGAGCGTGAAACACACAAATAAACCTTTTTAAGTATAAATTTTCTTTTTCTTTTCTTTTTAAAATATAATGGCCAGATTGGTTCGAGTTAAATCGATTCTAAAATTTTCCAACCCACAAATCAAATCAATTTCTTGGGTTCCGTAAAAATTCAATAAAACCCAAATTTTAACTCAACTCAATCCCGAGAGAGCATTGGTTTCATCAGAATCTTGAGATGGTCATCAAGATGCCTGTGTTTGTTTGATAGGAATGTTGAATACTCGGACATTCATAGATGTCGAGGCATTCTAAGCAATTTTAGATGCCTTCTTGCAAGTCGGATTTCTAAGATTCTCGTGTTGAGGGCATCTTCTTTTGACAATTTTGTCCCTCGTCATTTTTGTTGTATAATATTTTTCATCAATAATATTTATTTCTCATCTATTTTATTTTATTTTAAAAATAAATATATTCACTCATTCATTGATAAATGTCTAAATATAATTTTATTTATATGTTACATTTAGATAAAAAATAAATATTTTTAGTCAATGTATAATATCTTAATTTGTTTGTAATTCAAATCTAGGGTGTAATCTTTCGTTTATTTTACTCTTCTAATAGTCACCAAACATAAACTAAAATTGAGATAAAAATATAATATTAAATTAATAAAAGTACAGTTTTTATATGAATTCAAATAATATTAAATTTAACATATAAATTATATAATAACTGCTAAAAACATTTTTGTAACCTTACATAAATCTAATACTCCCATGAATAAATCATGCAAAACAAACGTGGTTATCAAAATATTCCCAGATATCTTTATAAATTTTCCTACAAAACAAACGTAGCTATTTGAAAGTTCGGACATCTAAAATTCCGGGCATATAAGATTTCAGACAYGTGAAGATGCCGGACATGTGAACATACCAAAAAAACAAATGGTCCTTTACACTTTGGGTTGGATTGGGTTGTTTGATTTTTTTTTTTTTTTTAAGTTTTCGAATTTTTTAGTAATGCTGACAATGTAAATTACTACTCGTTGAATTTTTCTCTGTTTTAAAAAATATAACATGCCAAAAATTAAATTATACTTAGATCATAACAAATGATGAAAATAAATTTAACAACATCACGTGGAAAGAAAACAACAAAAATATTGTTTTTATTTTGTACTTTTTGTTTTTAAAATTTGCTCCTTGAAATTATTTAGCCAAACAAGTTACATGAAGAGACTATTTTTTCTTTTTAATAGGAAATTATTAACATAGTAACCTTCTTCTTTCTTGTCCTTGGTGGTTCCGAGGAGGAAAAAAAATAGAGAGAAAAAAAGAAAAGAATCTACTTTTTTTCCCTGGCAAGTAAGAACCTTCTCTTTACATCTTTTTTTTTCTTTTTTTTTTTTGTGTATTTGCTATTTTAGTTTTAAATCTTAATAATGTTATTCTCCTTCTCCAATATTATTTTCTTTCTAAAATTGCAACATTTTTTCTCTATATAATTTTTATTCAATTAATTAAAATAGAAATAAATGAATTAAAGAATGCTTGCTACTCCTAAATTGATATATAAAGTTTAGAACAACTCTATTATTTGAAACTTAGAGGGCTATGGCCATTGGCTCACTCACTACTAGTTGGAGTTTGTATAGTTTAAAATTATGATTTGCAAACTTATTTTAACATGTGTACTTTATGTTTAGGTCAAATTACAAATTTGACCGTGAAACTTTCATAATAGCATCTAATAGGTCGGTCTTATAAATCCCTGAACTTTAAATATTATATTTAATAGGTCATCGAACTTTAAAAAGTGTTGAACAAGTTTCTAAACTTTTAATTGTGTCTAATAAGTCCTAACTGATTAAATATTTTTTTAAAAATTTATCCATCTACTAGATATAAAATTAAAAAGTTAATAAACTCCGAAACAGCAAAGTTGAAAGTTGTGAACTTACATAGAATTGAAAATGTATCATCCTAAGAATACTTTTTGAAATTTAAAGACCTATTAGACATAAATCTAAGAATCAAACTAATTATAATTCAACTTTATCTTTAAATTACGAGTTTGTTAATCTCACAATCTTAATTTTTTGAATTCCAACACTACATTCTTTTATACATGATAAACCAAACATAAAATACATAATTTTATAACCTATGTCTACAAAAATTCTGACTATACAGATCCAAATTGAGGATGAAATGAGAAAACATTCTTCCAAAATCTTATTCAATCAAGATCAATGTTTTCTTTCTCAATCAACAGCCTTACAGCACAGACATGCATTTAATGAAACAATTAACAGCACAAAGAAAGAAAACAATAAATGAGTTCAGTTCATAAAGGGAAACAGAAGGCCTTGCTCCAATGGAAAGAAAATAAAATAAAATAAAAATATTTAAATCAACTCTATACATGATCTTATATGTTACAGAATGTGCATGTTGGATCAGTAAAGCAGATTTCATATTGGAGGAGACTTCTCTATTCAGATTCTAAACCCCAGGCCTGGCCACTTCTTCGTCGCCTCCTTCTTTGTCTTCCTTGAGTTTGGGTCGATGAGGTTTTCCAGAGACTTCGCTTTTCGGTTTCGGGTCCGGCCTGCTTCCTTAAGCAGCTCAGCCAGTCTCCTCTTTTCATCTTCAAAATCGGGATTTGCTATTCCGAGCTTCTCTTCTCTCAACTTTAGAACAGATTCCAATATTTCGATAGCATCGTCAACTCTGCATTATTTTTATAAGATACTATTAGATCAAGCATTCATCAGATCAGGGACCCGAACCCAGGTGCATAAACCACCTTATCCACAGAATTAAAGTTGATAGAGGAACGTCCGAAATGGTTACAAGCAAACATACTGTTTTGACACCAAATTTATTGCATAGTTATGCAAAAGTTTTAATATCCTAGATAGTGAGTTGCTATAGTTTCCTTTCGACCAGTGTAAGTAACTAACGATGAAATCTGTGACAGTAGGAGGTCGAGCTCCCGGGCGAGATATGCAGATGCAATGAAAAGAATGTATAATATGATTGGAAATGACGGGGAAAGAGGTGAATAATTTGAATTACCTTCCCATAGCATCATAAGTTGCAGCAAGGTTGCTATATACTCCAATGGTATCTTGATGACAATTGCCACACTCCTGTTCCAAAATTCCTCTTGCTTCTTCAAACAACTCAGCAGCTTCGTCTATCTTGAACAACTGCACACAAGCCAATCCCATTTGGTTCAAAACAACCCCAAAGAATGCAGATTTTCTCTCCCCGGTTGTTCTAAGTTTTGATATCGCACTCTCGAAAGAGCTCCTCGCATCTTCATACCTTCCAACCATGTAAAACATCACTCCCATTCGTGCTTCTATCCCGGCAATCGTGCTTTGCTGTCCTGGTTTATCCTCTAACATCTTCATTGCCTTTTGTAAAAGCTTCAATGCCTCCTCGGGCTCGTCAACAGACTCGTAAATTGCCGAAATTTCTGTCAGCCCACCAGCAATTTCCTCGGGTGAAGTTCCGGGCACGGGCTTTGAGTATATCCTCATTGCATTTTCGCAATAAGATTTGGACTCTCGGAGCTTTCCAGTGCGGTGATACAAGTCTGCAAGGCGTATGAAAACAGAGGCGACCAAAGGATGGTTGTCGCCCTTAGATGCTTTGAATACAGTGAGAGCTTTTTGGTATGAGAAAACTGCCTCGTCGAATCGACATAGAGACATGTAAATATTTCCAATGCTCACATCAATGGCAGCAACTTCACTGTCTTGCCCATTTGCAATCATCGCCATACTGGCCAGGACAAGGTGCTCGAGCGCAGACTCGTAATCACCTTTTGCCTCGCAGATGAGCGCCATCAGTCGGCGATCAGCTGCTTCTTCAAGCGATGCAGGCTCACTGTGTGCATGATGAATCTCAAGAGTTTTCTTGCACAATTCTTCTGCTCTATCGAACTGCATTGCTTGAACGTGCGCCTCAGATAAATACCTACATATAATATGAGATCGTCCGAAATGAACAACAAACTTAACAGGATAGCTTCCCTTTAATACCCAAAGCCATTCCTTCAAACTCCATCCATAAAAACTAACAAATTCTTAAAAACAATGAACCTATACCTATATTGAAGTCCCAACAATAATCAACGGATCTTCAACTTTAACCTCTACTCTAGTGATAACGAGTTACAGGACAGACAAAGTAGTCCACGACTCGACTAGACTTGAATCGACTCTAGGCCAATACCAGCACAAACAAATAGTTAATTCAGAGATTTGTTTTTCCATTTTCCGCCATGAAAAAATAAGGCTAAAAATACACGAGAGTTTGCAAAGAACAACCAAAGGAAACAAGAAAACACAAACACTCCATCAAACTGAAAGCTTCACCTAAAGAAAATACATTAACACTAGAAGTAGAGTCCACTTGAACAGTGAAGTCCCAACATATGCAGATCAAGCACAATCTCGAAATCCACATTCAACCTACAAATCCAACTAGAAAGCCACAAACTCCCATGTATTATTTTCAGTAATAAGAGCTCAGAAGACTAAAATCTGCATCTAGTACAAAAACAGTAGAAATCTGACCTGCAAGTTTCTCCAACTCTCGGATCCGTCTCTCCCAACGCATCGATTTGAATCTTCAAGCCCTCTTCATAGCAAGCAATGGACCGCTCGATCTGGCCCAGCATAGAATACGTGTCGCCGAGTTGCATATGGCCGGAAAAGGCAGCGAGGGCATGGTCGGGACCTCGGCCAATGTCGGGGACCTGAATGGCCTGTTCGAGAACCGGCACTGCCTCCTCGAACCGGCCCAAGCTGCAATAAATGGCGGCGAGGACATGGAGGCTCATGGCGAGGTCGAGGCTGGGCTCGCCATCGACGGCGCACCGCTCGAACGACTTGGAAGCGCGGATCGCGTAGTCTAGGGCTTTGTTGGGGCCGTCCCCGGAGGCGATGGTGTCGCGGGCGAGCTTGAGGAGGAAAGGCCCGAGATCGGGGTTGTCGAGGGAGGAATCCGGCGGAAATTGGGCCGCCGTCGGGCTTTCCGGCTGGAGCTTCTTCTTCCCGTTGGGCGAGGGCTTGGATCGGGAAGGAGAAGGAGAGGGCTGTTTCTTAGGAAGAGGAGAAGGGGGCCGGTGATTCGACGGCGGCGGGGTGTCGGGGACGGAGATCCGGAGCGGAGGGGCGTCCGGCGGGGTTTTGACGGAGACCAAACCGGGCATGGCGGCGGCGGAAATGGAAAGCAGAGGATTGAACTGGGAAAAGAGGGCTTTAATTTGAGGAGGAAAAAGGGATTAGGATTATGGATCAAGGGATTGAAACAGCCCACCTTGCTGAACCAAATTAAGATGAAGATTGAGAAAAAATTTCAGAGAAAAAATGAAAAAATCAGTGTGAAGTTTGAAGATTAAAGTTTGAAGTTTGAAGTTGAAGCTGTAGTAGATCAGACGTCAATAACTGTCCTCGCTGTCAAATTTCTTTGTCGGTCTGCTGCTCCAGCTCCAGTAAGATGATGAGAGAAAATGGACAACGAAGGGTGGGAGGGTGTAATCGTAATTTCATTATTCCTTTTTTCTTTTATTTTTCTTTTTCTTTTTCTTTTTCTTTTCTTTTTTCTTTACATTACGTTGTCAGAAATTATTTCCAATTGTTGTTGGGGTTGAATTGAGTAATATTGGCATACAAACCGAACTTCCAACTTCCAATTATTCGATATTATTATTATTATTTATTGGAACTTACTTCAAAACTGATGATTTTTATTTATTTATTTATTTTAGTGAAGCTATATTTAAGGTTTTGGTTCTGGYAGCATAAAATAAATATGTATTTTTAAATATAGTGAAAGTTTGAAATTTTACGGACCTAACAGCATCTAAATAAAATTTAAGTTCACATGTAATATAAACTACATTAAGAAAAAATAGCATTTATATTATATTAAAAAAAATTGTGATATTTTAATAAATATGTAGTATTTTTATTAATGTTTAGTTGAGTTTTTCTATTTTCCGTTTTGAGATTTGTAGCTAGATTTGAGTACTGTTAATATTTTAGGTGTTGACTTTTTTTTTTTTCCTTTAAATGTTTGTTTATATTGGATTTGGTCGTTTCAATATTGAATTTGGATGTTTTTTTGACTGCTTGGTTTTTAGCTTAGCTGAGGTTGGGCATTTTTATAAGCTGAATTTGGATATTTTCGTAGTTTAATTTTGATGATTTGTTGACTTGATTTAGAGTGGTTTATTGGCTAATTAGTTTTAATGTAATTTTTTTAATTTGATTTCAAAGAAAATATAATTTTTCTGATTATTTAAAATTAGGGTTGAATTTATTTAGTTGATTTGTTCAAATCTTGGATTATGTTTGATTAAAATGGTCCACTCGTTGGTTTCTTTTACATAATATTCCTAGAAAGAATTACCTTTCTTCTTTCTTCTTTCTTCCTTCTTTCTTTTTTCTAATTTAATTTAAGGTATAATTTAAAATTATAATTCCAATTATTAAACTTGGGAGGGTAGTGATGCATTGATCAAGAATACTTTTTTTAGTACTACATGGAAGGTGGGATAATCCACAATTTCTTGGTGTTGCATTCGATATGACTTGAACCCAAGACCTCAAAGATATTCCTTCAAGTCGCAAGTCATTCAAACTATCCATTTGAGACAGTGCGCATACCTCCCAAATATAGGGACAGGAAAGCCGAAGAACCGCCGACTCTTGAATTATAAATATATATATATATATATATATATATATATATATATATATTTACATAGTCAGTTTTGTATATAATCAATAATTCCATATTAGTTTTATTTTATGATTATACTTGAAATTATGTATTTACATCAACACATTTTTACCTCTAGTTAATAGTTGCATAGTGTCACAACCATACTAGTAGAGAGTAGGTTGTGACGCCCACGTAGTGTGCAAGTGTCAGCGACAAGCATATGTCGCCCATCGGGCCATGTCAAGGGCCGAGAGTGAAGTGTCGTGATGCGACCAAGGAGGATGGTGCATCACCTATCACACCATGTGGATGTGCTCAAGAATGCCTAGAGAAGGCATATGCAGAATGCAAAGCGAAGGCAACGTCGGTGGTGTCGGTGACAAGCTTAACGGGGGCCAGTT